CCAGCCTTTGAGAAGAAGCCTAACCGAATTCACTATCAAGTACAATGAACCTCTAAGTCCATCAGTATGGGCTCTTAATGGGCCCAACATTTACAGTTAAATGATCCTTGAGTCTAGTCATTCTATGAAGGCCCAAGGACAATGGACTTAAGTAAGAAATAACCCATCAGGCAAACAACCCTTAATGGTCTCTTACACTTAACCTTTTCAGCCCATAATGATCAAACACTGCCCGATAGGGAATGATCTCTCCCCTGACTGCAAGGTGCAGTGTTGCACTCTCTGCTTGGATGGGTCCCGGGAATTAAAACCTCTTTGCAAATTCTTTTTCTTAAAACATAATATATGTATTATCATATAAATGTATTTTGCAAAACAAATTTTAAACACAGTTGAAATCGACTACTGGCAGTTTTGGTTTCCATCAGAGAGAGTGCAGTCCTGATCTTTCACTTTGTCTGACAAAGGAGCTGATCCTGTCACTATGATCACCCACTCAAGTGAATTCTTAGACTGCCCTAACCCCCAACATACCTAGGTTTTGACCCCCCAGAAGATCTCACTGATTGCCATATCAATGACAGCCCGATTCGACACCAGTGCAGTACCATAATCGAGTGTAGGGGTTATGTGTAACTTTTCAGTTTTGCTCACCAATCTTTAAGGTCCAGGGCATAACTGGAAAATGGTCCGGATTCAGTGTTTCAAAGAAACACACACTACATGTGCTTTGGGTCCAACCCTAGCAGCTAGGACAAGTTGCCCCAACTTCTTTGGCAGCACTTTAGTGTCAGCCTTGGCAGGATAAACTCCCCAAGTCTATCCCACGGCTGAGAAAATTCTAAACTAACACGAGTCTCATAAGTGTCCAGTTTAAGGGATAATTACACAGAAACACCTTGGCAGGATAAACTCCCCAAGTCTCCCGTAGATCCAGTGTTGTCACACAACACTGGAATGGGTGATATGGTAAGATTCTAAATTCCAGGTTGAACAACTTCATCCATACTACTTGTTAGGCAACCTCACTTATGACAATTTGCTTGGCCTTGGTCATAGACTATTTTTTCTTATTACATAGGACGCAAACCCTATCATTTGGGTCTGACTATAGTCAGTATCAATATATCCAATGATTTGTAGTGAACTACCATCGAGGACAAGACAATATTCTCTGATCCTCCAGAGGTATATGGGTATGTCTTTCACAGTGGTCCTATGCTTTATCCTGGGTTTGATTGGTATCTATTTACCACACTCACAGCCTGAGAATAACGAGCCCACCCAAAATAATTATTTGGTGATTTTGCGCTATCAGTCCTGGGCTCTTGGCACTTGAATAACATTGAATGATCCAAACACCCATGGAGAGACATTAGTTCATCACCACCCATGACGTCAAAACCCCCTTCCTCTCCCCTTGCCACTGGCTTTGGGGGCCAAAAACCCTTCCCACTATCAACCACCATGGCTGCTTCTCTTTTGAACAACATTTTTGTTGTATCGACGACCCTGACAAAATCAACGAATGGACACTCAGATTTCTTCTGGTGAGGAGCCATGATTGACAGGAAAGAAAATAGGTAAGAGGATGAAGAAAAAACTGAGTAGGAAGAATTGCAGAACAGACAAAGATGGAACACAAAGAGTTAATTGGCCGAGAATAATGAGCACACATAAGCAAGTAAGAGCAAGCATACCGCCCTTTTATAAAAAACCCCCACACGTGTCGGGAATGACAAGCAATACCGGGGAAGACGAAAAGACATGATTACAGGCTCGCAGATGATGCTTAACGAAAAAGCAAGGTATAAATTTACAACTATACTCTTATAAAGGCGGGACAA